TATATATTGTGTGTGTGTGTGTAGTGTGTGTGTGTGTGTGTTGATGTGTGTGGTGTGTGTCTGTGTGTGTGTGATGTGTGTGTGTGTGGTGATGTGTGGCGTGTAGAGTGTGTGTGTGTGTTGCGTATGTGTGTGTGTGTGTGTGTGTGGTGTGTGTTGGTGTTGTGTGTGTGTAAATGCATATTCCCATGTTTGTATGTAAATGTGTATGTATGTGATAACCAGAATTTGAAGATTTTTTATTCATCATCACTTAAATAATTGCCAATCAAAGTATCCTTGCCGGCCAATAATATTCCCAACAGAAAGTAGATGAAGGAGCTAGCCATGATTCCTTAGTTGGTTCTTTATCCCGTTGTGTTGCTGTGACGAAGAGCAATAAACGGTGATTGATGGAGGTTGTAATGCATGAAATTATAGATAATCAGTGCTATAGTCATATAATGATATATGGCAATCTGAAAAATTTATTAGGTGATTCATGATCTATATTACAAAAGGGATGGAGACTTAACAAATGAGAAGCAGCAAAAGGCTTCATTACACTCGATTACGCATGGACATGAGGCAGAATAACGGGTTATGAAACTTCTTTGTGAAGTTATAGTAACGCAGTGTATGGAGATGCAGAGTCGTAACATAATATGCGCTGCACTGCTTTAGTTGCGCTGGAGAGAGTCAAGTAGCTGGTCTTTGATGGAAAAGGACTAAGAATAGGAAAGAAAGGTAATAAGGATAGCACCTTGTCACAGTATTTTTCGATTGTAAATGGTGTAATTGTAATTTCAGAATGAAATATGTAATGCCTATTCTCATTTATTTGTATTGTATAATTTGTCGTATTCGCTGTGTGTATCATATATAATTATTTGTGTGTTTGTTTGGGAGTACTAGTCTTATTCTATTAAAATCATAAATAATATGAATATTTATATATATATCTATTTGATTTCTATTTGAATTATTTTATTGTCATTGTGTGAGTTATATTCGAGATTGTAATTGAGATGTCTTGGGGGTTTTCAACGGGTACTATATACATACATTACTATCTATATAAATATGGTAGAGGATATAGCGAATAAATGTATTATATATATATATATATAGTATTTATTAGTAGCTAATATTGTGTATATCGCTATATTATAGTATTTACATTGCAACAGCACACACACACACACACAGTACCATCACACACAAACCCTCGGGGGCGACGTTGTTGATCACTCACAGTTATGTAGCTGTCAACACACACACATACACACCACACACACAGGTGGAAGGCCTGTACCTTTGCCGATGACACACACAAGCTCCTCGCCTGAGTGCGTTGACTATTGGCACACACACACGTCCACTCACAGCACACAAATATAGTGTATATATGTTAGATAGTTAGTTATATTACTAAGTATATAGTGAGTATGTAACTGATATAAGTATCATATCATATTCATATTAGTATACTTTCTAGTCACTAACTCATCAGTGTTAGTATTATGTATAGTATGTTCCCGGTACGGTGAGTGTGTTGGTGGAGTTAGCTGCTATGCTTTGCATAGACAATAAGTGACGTAGTATGCAGTGTATTCTAGGGATAACATATCATATATACTATAATAAAGGAGGGTGTATGAGAGTAAGATGTAGAGTATATAGTATGGTAAGTGTATCGCCTTATATATATAAAAGTTATTTATATAATTACTGTGCGGGCGTGGGTGTGACGGACGGACGGCGTATATAGATTGTGGAGATGTATGTATTGTATATCGTAGTCGCACTCGGAGCATCATTTAGTATATTGGTGAGGCCTGGCTAATTGAGGGTTGGCGAGGGGTGTGGGCGGTGTGGTCATACTAGTGTGTGTGTTGTAGTGGACGTGTATTCTTGGGCGCCATGATTATTTGTATTAGGTGACTGTGGCTCATCAAGTAGTGTAAGTTTTTATGTGAGGTGTCTCTTATTTTATCAGAGGGGTGTGGCAGAATAGTATTATATATTTATTATATATATAGTATGGCAGATGGCAATAGGATATAGGGTTGGGCTACATTTATATAATATACGCAATAGTCGATATAAGTGCGTTATTACGGTGCAAAACGTATGGCTCAGCGGTTGGGTTAGTAAGAGCGTAGAGTGTTAGCGGCAGTCGAAGCATTAGCGCATTGTATATATAATGAGGTCGGCGACATGGTATCGTATTATATTAATAATACCTAAGCCTAGGTCAGGGAATTAATTTACTACTTATTGTACTGCTATACTAGTGGTTGTGGCCGTAGGTGAAGCCTGGAAGGCTGGCAGTTATCATAGTTAGTATGTATATTTATATAGGTTAGGGTATACGTATTAGAATATATAGTTGGTAGTATATGTGTGTATACATTTACATCATATATCAAGTACGTATAGTGAGGTAAGTGGTTGATAATAAGTTGTTATATAGGAAGCTACTTAGAGATAGTGATAGATTGTTAATTTAAGTGAAGCCTATCGCATAAGTCCCAGAGTGATATTATATTAAGGGGTATAGTATCACGATCATATACGTATATTAGACACTGTGATACAGTTAGTAAATTATAGTAGCTGAGGATACGGTTATAGGTTAGTTTTTACTATTTCCTAAAATAGTATAGTGTAATTATATTATATGTTTTATATTATGACATGACATATAGTTGTTATAGGTGTCTATAAGTGAAGTATTAGTTATTTGAATCTCTGGATATGTCTATAGTGGAGCATGTTGTATTTCAGTAGTGGTATGGCGTATAACTTTTATGACGCGTAGGGTATATACTGAGTTATCTAGTGATTGAGGAGTATGTGGTTGTTTAGGTGTGTGTGTTAGTGTGGGTGTGGTGTGTGCGTGTGTGTGTGTGTGTGTGGTGGTGTGTTGTGTGTGTGTGCTGTAGTTATATGTGGTATATATATTATATAAATATATATATATATATAT